GTTTAACACGTGTGTCTTGGAACTTAAATAGTAATCTTGTTGGTAAATGGGTGGTTTGCAAACCCAACAATACACATATAGGTCAGATAAATTGAATATAACTTCACAATCATCTGTCAGTCTAGGGATATGGATATCTCAAAAGAGGAAGTGACTGGCGTTTATGGAGTAGCAGTTAGGCGCTTCACTGTTGCACCCAGGAGATCGGCGTTCGATTCCCGTGTGGGGAGAATCTTTTTTATCGAATATCTCGATCTTTCTGCAGGGATATTGTGGCCCTCTCAGCCCGGGTTGGCCATGGCAGGCAGGGTCGGAAGCCTGCCTCCTATATGATCGATGGGGGTTGAAGGGGAGAGGGGGGTAAGAACTCCGTATTTTGAAAAAAGGAAGAAGATAGGTAGGGAGTCTAAATGTATGTAGCTCAATTCCACACGACCATCCACATGACGCTAACTTCAGAGAGGACTACAGACCTAGAATATTATATCATGATCTTATGCAACGTTTTTAAAAGGCAATATTTAATATTTGTGTTTGCCTTGGTACAGCTCGTCTAAATGTGTGTATGTGTGTGGGGGTTTTCTTTGCCTATCCAGGATCTCGGCGGGGGGAGGGGGAGAGGGGGGGAGGGGGGGAGGGGGGAGGGGAAGAGTTCTTTCAACGTTTTATGTTATTTCTTTTTTTTAACGTGGCCTCCACCTTGCACTGTCGCGACGCCGAAGATAATCAGAGCGCAGGTGCGGTTCCACAATAATCTTCACGTAGCTGTCTACTCCACTAATCTTTTACCTCCCGTAATTGATGAGGGCTGCTTCCCAAAATTTTGCCCTGCTTGGGCTAGGGTTGGGCGGAGCTTTGGATCCCTCAGCACATTCGTAATTGAAGTGCTATGTCAAAATAAACTGATTACGACTAACGTTTGGTCTCGAGAGACGGATGTATTAATAATGCATAGCTGACTCAAACGATGAAACGACTCCTTGTCACAAAGCGATTCCAAGAGGGCAACTTTTCAAATAAAGAGCTAAGTTTTTGTGACATCCGTTTGACATGTTCAGAGTATTAGATAACTTCGGTTTTGTTTTTTTGTTTTTGATTAATCCGTTCTCTTTTGTTTCAAGTTGCGTTAGGGTGCCATAGTATAAAAACATTTTTCTTATTCCGTATGTCTGTTACATTATCTTTCTTTCTGCCTCATTTTGCCTGATCGAGAACCCTAGTTTTGCTGCAATCTTTTTCTTTTATTCTCTTTACACTACAATAAATTGATAATATTTTTGTGTGTGTGTCTTTACGATTTGGGATGACACTATATTATATAGACACGTTCGTTTATTCGCTTCGCTTTTTAAATGAATTCATTTTAAAAAAGTATTTCTTGCCTCTAGGCAACTCGGAGTAACAATGTCATAGGCAATAGATCTTCTATTACCTGTAAGTTGTTTTTCTTTATTCTGTGGCGTTTGGTCAACAAGGTAACAAACATTATTTTCAGTGGATGCAGCAGTTGAAAACGGGTGTATTTTTTTCTGAAAGTATTTTTGTTTGTTTCATCTCACTCAACCCCCCCCCCCCCCCCCCCGCACCCCCTTTTCCCCTTTCCAGTCCTTATCATATCCCCAATACAATGTCTGCTTTCTTTATATATACCCTAGTTGTGTACTTCTTATAAAGATTTAATAAAACACATTTGGTTTCCTTTTACAGTCAGGCTAAGTTTACCAAAGGTTGCACACAATAAACTTTGTTGCTTTTTTAATACGTGTCCAGCAAATTTTTAAAAATTTAGCGCACACAATTTTCGCTAAGCGAAAATACTGAGGGTAATGTTAGCTGGAGTTGGGTACCAGTTACACGTAAACGTAAAAACGAAACCTTAAATCCGTATGACGTTCGTAGAAAACCAGCCTTATTAAGTCAAATCACATCAGATTTTTTAAAAAAACATACAGACAAACAAACAGCCAAATAATTAATGTTTGTATGGCCATAATGGGACAAGATTTATTTAGTTGCATGTGTCCAGTCTAAGGTACCGGATAATTGTAAGTTTATTTTACGGCAGCGAAGTATCTCAGGCAGCCAAAATCAGTAGAAGGCTACTAAATCTGGAGAGACAGATCTGCTCGAATGCAGCCTGGAGCTGAGCGCATCGCGTGATCTGGACCCCTTGTGTGGTCTCCCCGGATTAATCGTTGCTGACAGACGCTATGATTGTCGTCAGCTCGTGAGATCTGCTCATGGGACTTTCGCCTTGACACCCCTGGGTATCTCCTGGGGTATCTCTGACAGCAATATCCTTGGTATCTTTGTAGACTGCAACTGTTGTATTTTTCCAACGTCAATGATAGAAAAATAAAGTCTAATCGTGACAGAAAATCGTATTTTATGTTAAGCGCAGTTAAAGCATACACTTTTTACAATACGTGTCACGACTCAGTGGAATCAAGCGCTCGTCAATTTTCGGCATTATGGCATTACTTGTATCTTAAAGGGCGTT